AGAAGTAGCAAAACTACATGGGGAAGGCACCAGGAAGTAAGATAGAATTTTGTAACATCTTGGGTACGGGCTGTGCAGCAAAGGACACTGATGGGGAAGGTCTACAGTCACAATGCTAAGAAACAGAGGGAGCACAGAATTGCAAAAGCTTTTGTCAATAGAATTTCATACCCAATTATTGTCATGGGACTCTCAAATTTTATTTCCTGCAATTCTTCTGGCAAAAGGCCAGTTCTCGCATGACCTCCGTAATTTTTTTAATCCTATCAATGAAATCGTCTTTCCTTTGAGGCAGCCCATTTTATTCCCTTTTAAGAGAGCCGATTTCCCTTAGAATTTGGAACTGAACTGACTATAAGTAGTAAATTTTCTCTTACAGAGATAAACATCAGCATGCTAACATCTGCAAGCGTTGATTTTGTTACAATTATACTAGATGGAGCCCACCCACAAAGGATGCCATCCGAAGAGGCTTTTCTTCTTCTTCTTCTTAACTGGGTGAGAAATGGTTGTGCCAGGTGGCAACTTTGAACACAGGTAAAGAGCGGACAATACGCACCAGCATGGGATCCTTAGGAGATGCACAGCCTCTGCTGTGTGCTGCAGCTGTTGGGTATCGGCTGTCTCTCTGAGCAGGGATCACAAGCAATTTCTAATCTCACGCCTGCTTCTGGTCTGGGCTAGCAACACAGAGGCAGAGTTGATTTGAACCTACCAGACAGAATAACCTGTTAATTCTTAGGCTATTACTTAACAAATCCAGGTGTTGGGAGCAACTGTTTTCTGCATAACAATGCCAAAGGCCTTCAATCTACCTGCCCTCCCTGCCCAAAAGTGCAGTCAGTAGGGTAGGTGGCAGGGAGCAGACCCTGATTCAACAGCAGCTATTGCTCTTTTTCTTGTCACTCTATAGGTCACTGGCTGGCAGAAATCTCTGTGGAAATGCATCTAAAAATATTTTGAAAACTTGGCCTCCGCTGATGAGAAAATTAAGTGGTGACTCATGCTCCCATCAGCTCCAGACTTGATTACTGCAATTTGATGGACTGAGAAGCTGATATTCCACCGAGACTGCAATTTGCTTAGGGGAGCAGCCAAGAGGCCTCATTGGCACCAATTGCTTCCAACACATCTCTCTTGTCCTTTTAATCACTAACAAATTTAATTTCACTTCTCACTGAAGATCTCACTCTCCACCTTTCGGGCAAGACAACAATTTAGAGGCTGCTTTCATGACCTCTGCTACAGCTCTAGATGCCAGCATGAAGCAGACATTGCCTGTAGCAATGCCTCGCACCTGCATTTCCTGGCATTGCTTTCTCTAGTCCTGCACATCTAAAGCCACTGGACAGTCCTTGTCCATGCTACTCCGGAAGATTACTTACCATCCTGCAGGGTGTTCTCTGTTGAATGAGAATTTTACAGGAACCGTACACGTAAACTTTGAAGAATTTAATTCAAAATGCCTCCTCAAAGAAGTCGCAGTCTAACAATCACAAGTGGTAACACGGTTTAAGCAAGAAAACGGCAAAGAGGAGACAACCTCCCTCTTCTGACATTGTTCTGATATGATGCTGTAGTTTTGGTCTGGGAGATTGGGGCTACCCGTGGAAACAGGGACAAAAGAGATTCTGTTTGTTAGGTGCTGGAAAGGGCAGGCCATCAAATCTAAAGTAAAATACTCTTCATTTACTCTCCTCACGTGTTACATTATCACCAAGCTTTGTTAGAACAATAGCAGGGCTTTTCAAACAGCTTCCCCAGGGAGACCGCTCTGCAGCTTAACAGCCCTTTCACTGGAGATGTGCAAGCGTAACCAAGGGCAGAATTTAGTCTCTTGTCTATTTAACGTGTTTGCGAGGGACTGTATGTGTTTCTGGCACTTTATAATAATAGTAATATAAATGCATTTGGATTATAACAAAATGGAGATACTATGATTTAGCCCTTTACTGTGTTGTAATTCCCAAATGCATCAACATCTATTTAAGTGCAAAATAGTCTACAAATACAATGCTGCGATCGTCTGCTGTAAAGGTTCTGTATGAGATTATGATTCAATACAAAACACGATTCAGTGTCTGAAATTTCATTTTTAATGTCAGAATAACATCAAAAAAGTAGCTCTTTCTCCATATGCAGTCTGCAAAAAAATGTATACCAGGGACTTGGTCCTTTCTAGTGATTTCTACATATATAACCGCTCATCTCTTATGCACATATGCACTTGCACATAAATAAATGTGCTTGCCGACAGACAATATTTCATCTTGCTTTCTAACCTCCTGCTGTCAAGATATTTCCACAGAAAACAATACACAAATAAAACTAACAGCTCCTCTTTCCGTGACTGCCAGAATAACATAGTGGACTACTTCTGTAAAACCAAGCTGCTGGATTACTCTCCTTTCACTCTGTGAACAAGCACAACCGCGCAGCTTCTGCTGAGATTGCCTTTTCTGTCATATAACCTATTCGCACTAACTAAAGGATCTACAAGAAAAAAACCACCACAATTTTGATTTTAACTACATAAAAAATGATTTATCTTGGACCTATTACTGGGGTCATGAAAGGCTTCTCAATTTAGTGCACAAAAAGGGAAATAAAATGTTTGAGTAACTCAACACAAAGTGCTAAGATTCCCTGTCACCTCTGAAGTGCTTTTTTATTGTTTGGGCGTTTTTTTTCCTCTGCTATCATTAGATGGAATTATAGATATGCAGAAGATAAGAAGTGTTGACGATCAAGAAAATCCTTTTTAACATGGGCAAAGTTCTCATTTGCCATCAGTTTTGCCTGATTATGTTCAACGCCAGGTATCTCTCAGTTAAATTTAAAGCCAAGAAGTTGAAAAGATTCAGAACTCTTCTAACACTCTACTGAAAAACTGGTGTAGTTCAATGAATTAATTTTCAGTTGATAGTTTGCAGTATTCTGAGGACTTTCTTTCCCCAAGTTTAGTTCATAAAATATTTCTCTACAGCTCATGGATTTTTTTTTTTTTTTTAAAGAACAAGCAAACATTTAAAAGCTTACCCACAAAAGAACAAAACATAGGTAACAGAGGTAAAAAGTTGATCTAGAGGATAAGTAATTTTATCTTGTTTTCCTATTAACAAAATTAAATTCAAAACCATTCTGTTTATTAAAGACATACAGGCATAATAACAAGTCATAAAACAAACATCTTAACAGTCTTCAAACATAACAGAATTGATATGCATAATTAAGTTTCATTAAGTACGGATTTAAAACATGTATTTCAGTTTTGCTTTATATTCCCTTTAGACCAACACCTCCACCACTCATACACAATATTTAGGCTGCCCCAAGCAATCAACGAGGACTTTGTAAAGGCTCTAACAAAACTCCATCTTAACAGTTTGAAATATTCTTAAATGTAGAAAAAATTTAACAAAGAAAAAAGGATGTGTTCAGCGGAATCTAACCAAGTTGTTGGATGTACTGAAAGTCGGAGATTCAGTATGTAGAGGTAGCTCTATAAGGGTACTTGCAGTGTTCTGACTGTTTAGCATTGACACCACGACAGTAAGTTACTGTATGCTTGAACTCTTCCTGTTTATTTAAAAAAAAGCGAGCACTCTTTCTGGGTCTGCTGCTTTGCCATTCAAAACCAACAGAAAGAGTCATCGATTTCAGTGGGATTGGGATTAAGTCCTTATATACTCTGGAAGTTCACGTTTATGGAAACAGAACAAAAAGAAACTGTCCTGAGTCTGGACTCTCCGCTGCAAGCAGTGCTTTTAAGCCCGGACAAAGGAATTTTTTCCCACATGGGGCCAGTTACTGGTTAGCATGCTTAAGGAAGGGGAACCTTGAATTTGGCCCAAGAACACGCATGCTATTCTCTCCAATTACCTCACAGGTTGGCCTGTCGGTGGATCTGACTATGCTATCTAGGGATGCATTGATCAAAACTGAGCTCACTGCCCGCTGCCCTTTGCATCCCTGGCTAGTGAGAAGAGAGCACAGCCCTGGGGGGCACAGGCAGTGGACAGTGTCCCTCAGCCCTGCCGCCTGCTCAGTGTGCAGAGCTTGATCCCCCTCCGGGGAATGAAAGAATTCAGCAAGTTGCCACCTCACGTACCTTCGTTACATGGTCATTTTATTGGTGATGAAACAGCTCCCAGCAGTTTCCCATACAGGTGGCAACAGAGCAGTCTTGCACTGACTGACCATCAGGTAAAGCACCGATGATTGGTACCAGATTATTCTCCTGTTGTTCACAGGAGTAACGGACTAGGAATAACAGACTAGGTAAACCAAACACAATTTTTTTCACAAAGGCAAAAGGATATGAATTTCACATGCCTATTGTGATACAAAAGATCTTTATCTTGTGTAAATGGCTATAGCCTTATCAGAGCTATGATAATTTACATCTGCTAAAGATCTGCTCCTAGGTGTTTGCACGCAGTTGCACCATTAACTGCAACGTTAACCATGACACACATGAAACTTCTGCATTTATATTGATCCCAGTTTGACCTATTTCTTTCATTCCTTTTAATGTTTTAATGCACAATTGCCAGCACAGTTTTTGCAGATGGGTACACCTCAGAGTCTGGACTAGAGCACGCTTCTGAAATCTTAATCTCCCAGACAAGATTCAGTGCTGGCTATATGTTTAAATATATACCTGTGTTCCTTTCTCTTCAACACTTCTCTTAGAAATAGTATTTTGTATTCTTTTTTTATATAAGTTTACTAAAAAGAGTAACATTTTATTTTTTAAAACGTTGTGACTGATTGTCAAATTAGCTAAGATAGCGTTTCTGTTACTATAAGGATCCATTTAATTGGCAAAAAAAAAAAAAAAAAAAATTGTCAACTTTCTTGTCCTCACAAGCTATTATTCATTACCAATGCAGCAATATAGAGAACATAGCTTGGCTTACTACAATAGAAGCTCTGTTTCAATATTAGCATCCTAAATTCTGACACTGCAGATCTCCGTGCATTGCACCGGGGGAAGGAAAAGAAAAAAGAAAAACAGAAATTTGTGTTCTTCAGGGGTAAATTATAAAAGATCTCCTAGCTGCAAACACAAATACTTCACTCATAACCCAAGCACCAGACCAATTCTTTGAAGAAGCTTATGAGGCATTTAAGATATACAATGGCACAATATCATACAATGGAATTGAAAGAATTTTCTTGAGAAACCATTAACTTTGAAGGAATGTCTAGACAACTGTGTCAACAAATGCAAATAATTCATGTTTCTCAGCTTCTATCCAATGGATGGCCCCATGCTGAGTATACACAAACTCAGAAGAAAAAGGCATGTCACAGTCATATGACTAGGGAGTGTAACAGTCACACAGAAATTCAAGTCAATCTTGGAAAAAAAACCTTCAGAAAGCTCTTCCCCAGGGTAAGCCAGCAGTGGGATAGGCTTCTGGTCATTTTGGCTAGTTTAAAACAGAGACTTAAGCTGACGCACCCTGGCTTCAAAACAGGGGCAATGGAAGAAACAGCTGTTAGTCACGACCATTCACTTGGTTAGAAAAATAAAAACTAAACGACTCCAAAATACTGTACAACCTCTTGCAGTAACCAACAAAGTGGCTTCTGGAAACAATGCTTTTGCCAAAAATGCATCTGTAAGGCACTTAACAGGTATCTTTTTAATATATATATAAAAATAAAATATGCACTGAAGCAACATTCACAAATACCCAGTTGTCTCAATTGTCTGTGTGTACAGTATAGTACATATATACATTCACTGTGACACAGGCCATCTCCATAATTATACCTTCACGGGTGCTTTGGGCTGCCTGGTTAACTTCAGTGCCTGTGAACGGTAAACAAAACAGTCACTTTTTTATATTCTTAAAAGTCAACCAACAGCACAAGACAAGATTTTTATTCATAAGGGGCGACAAAGTGCTGCCTGTACTTCTGAGAGGTTGAGTGAGGAGTCAGCATGCAGCTGACAGGCCGCTCTGGGTTTTGTGATGATGTTTTTATCTCTGATAGCCCATCACAACTTCCTCACATACAGATAGCCTTAAAAGAGGAACCACAAGGAATATGGCTACAGTGCCAGTGAAGGAAGTGGAGGTGGTTCTCAGGTGTCTTCAGAAAGCAACTATTTGGACCCATATGGCTCGAAGCCTGCTCAGAGTATAGTCACTGCTGCAGTGGTGGATGTCATGCATCTCTGGTGTTTATACCTTCTTTTCTGAGAAGAGGTAAGAATAAGCCAAAGTCCATCAGTCCAGAGGTGATCTTATGCTAGGGGACACCCGACGTCTTTGTAGCTCTAGTCTACTCTGAGGAGGAGAGAAACCACACGCCTTTATGTGATGGCAGCGTCCAGCTCTGTGCTCCCTGCAGGACTGGCCAATTATGGTAGCTGAACTACTTATTCAGTGTGTGACAGAATTCAACTCAAACGGTAAGGTGATCATGCTTCTAGTTTGGCAGGAAGCAGCCTCTCTAACTTAGGAGGCAACTGTGACAGGCTTAAAAGGTGTTAAGTTTTCAGCTGCTCCTATATACCAACGTGGTCACTGTGAAGGATGCCCGTTGTTGGTGTGCTCTGCAACAAAAAAGCTCAGTGCTTTCTTGTGCGGGATGAATCAGCCTGAGTGAGAGGGAAATTCGCGAAATTTGCAAATTCCTGAAATTTGGAACCTCTGTTTTCCTTAGCCTTTTGGGTGAAGTGCCCTGGCAGACTGGCATTTGCCTGTCGAGTGGGAGACTTCTCATTTCCGGAGGGTTGGCTAAACAAGCAATATTCAGTCTGAGAGATGTCTGATGGGTCTTCTTATTGTAGCTATTAACCTTTAATATTGTACATTTAAAGCTTGTAAGCACTGCTTGAAAAATGCTCCAGCACAAACATAAACCCTTAAAAAAATCCAAACCTGTAAAAATAAATAGGCTATATTCCCCTCACAAACCCCAGCTTTCAGAAACACCAGCATTTAACTATTGTTAAATCTAGCCGTTTGAGATTAGTCTTTTGGATATTATTCAGCAAGAGACTTTGGAGAGAGACATCATTCCACACTTTGTTTGGGGAAATAATTTTTTAACTTTGTAGTTTGGCAGATTCTGCTGCCATATTTACAAAGTAGAAATACCTTAGTGTAGATGAACCTCTAAATATTTAAATTCAATTTCATACAACCAGATCACATGTACTATCATAATTAAGTAAGAATGTCACTGCAGTTGAGTACTGTGACTGGATAACCGTCTCCCCCTCCAAGAGAGATGCCAAAATGAAGCCAAGGTGTTTATAGAAAATAAACATCAAGGGTGATGATGACATGTTTATTTTCAAAGCGGGAGACCATTATCCAGTCACAACGTTCACTTCTATTATACTTATTATAACTGTACCAGACCCAACCTCATTGATTTTTTTCAAAGAGTAATTAAAACAACATTTGTGAATAATACAGAAGACCAACTGAAGGAACTGCTGCAACAGAACAACAATCCCCCAAAGTGGTTCTACGGTAGCATTACAGTCTGATTAGCACAGGAGGTTTATTTGATGCTTAATGAATAAGAAACTAGTGCTGGTGAAGTGTAAACCTCTCCAGTACTGGTTGACTTTTCTGATGCCCTGTTTAAAGGCTGTGTTAACTTGCCGCAACTGACAGCAGCCCCTAAAGACCATTACCGCTCCTGAGGATCAGGGAGGTCTGGATAAGCTCCAGCCCCACTCCTGGTCTTGGCAGCAGGGAGCAGTTAGATGCTGAACAGAACCCAGCATTGCAGGGATCGTTCTGTCACTGGTAGTGTCAACTTTATCTTTCTGCAGGAATAGCATGGAATTTTCTTTACACAACCTGTAATGTCTCCTGGTAATTTCTGATTAAAAAAAAAATCATGACTTTCAGACTGATGGAGAAATGACATATGATTCTCAAATTTCCATTTTTGGATGCTAAGATAAGTATACCTTAACAAGGTCTGATTTCTGGACTCGGTTCCTGAAAATTCAGAGTGTTCCTGCATTTTACAATTCAGGTAACCAAAAGTGAAGCCACATGAAAATCACTGATTTGGGGAATTTTAGCATTCAGGTTAGCAAGATGACTTTAGTGGAGTGGAAGCTAGTAAAATAGCAACCTGTTGGGTTTTACTGAAAATTGGAAACATGGAAGTTATAAAAAAAAATTTCTCCATTGACAAGTGGAGAACACAGGGTACTAGTGGCACTGGGCTTCCCACTGTAGGTCTCAGCCTACACCTAAACTGGCTGTCAAAGACTGCTTCAGTTGCCACAGCTTCTTGATCCTTATTATCTCAGAACATTAAAGACAGCATTAAAATCAGCTGCGTGGACTAGTGTTCTGCGAGGTGGTTACTACTGTTCTGAGAACCTGACTAAAACCATTGCAATTACTTCATATAGATCACAGAATGGCTGTCAGATGTCAATAGCTTCCATTTGTACTGAAATAAGCGTAATTTGCATCGGTAATGTCAATGCAAAAACCTCTAGGTTATAGTCTATAATCCTACAAGCTATCCCATGTCATAATTTTGGCATGAAATGTGATGCACCAGACTCCTGTAGACTTCTTACTATTGTAAAGGGTGACCCAAGTAGAAAAAAAAAATTAAACAGTTCTCATCCTGGCTTCAATTCAATGAGAAAGTGCCCTCATTTTACCCGATTTCCCCAGCTCCCATGGGACAGATCTTTGTCACTTGTCCATAAGGGAGATCCAAAGCTGTGATTATTAGCTAAAGACGGAGCCATTCTTATTGGGCATAATCTGAATTCATAATTTGAATGACTTCATAATTTGAACTAACCATAGAGGTCTAACTTCAAGATTTGAACCTTTTCAGAGCCAAGATGGATAAAGTTCAGCATTTTAAATTTAATACTACTGTGACTATCACTGTCATAAAGGAAGTAAAGAAACAGAAAAATCTCTACCATGGAATCTCCAAGAAGGAACCTGAGGAGTTTAAGACGTGTTTAGGTATATTTTTTCCTCATAGCACACTTTCCATTATAAATCAAAACCAGCAATTCTTACCTTTTGCCTAGAAACCATCCAGGATTTTATTGTTGGTACCAACAGACTGCCAAGAAGAATCTGAGCAGGATGATAGATGAGTAAGGGGACGGAAATTAAGGACAGGTGCTCATAACCCGCAAATACTATCTTCAGCATTGGAATCCCTGCAGACAGAAAAACAGGAGACAGACTCTCACCTCAGACTTTGAGCTCTAGATAAAAGCAAAGCATTTTACGTTGCATTGACATTTCACAAAAAAAAAAAACCAAACCAAAAAGAAACAAAAATGAAGACTCAGAAGTTTTATATTAAAAAAAAAAACCAACCCAAAGAAACCAGCGAGAACATGAACAAAGAAAGTACACGGCAGAGAAAGTTCTGTGGCAGAAAGGAAGGAGTAGGGGAATGCCATAAAAGATCTTTTCTAATTATGCTAATAGCTGTCAAACTCCAGCTGAAGACTTGATATAAAATACATTCTGCTATAGCATGACTGTTCGGTTGCTGAGCATAGTTCTGTACTGCTCATTTACTACTTCCTCTCACTGTGCTCCGTTACGTGTTTTCATGATTGTCCTCCATCCAACCTGCCCGATTCCTGCTTGTAACCTTTCCTCAGTCCGTTCAGCACTGGAGGAGGGTTGCGTTTTCCTGGTATACTCCCTGCCAGCTGGCGAGTACCCAAATGGCAGCCTTCGCTGCTTTGACTAATTCATGCAGTCAAGGTAGAGAGTCAAGTACTCTGCAGGTGAGTGCTCATGTGTTAGAGAACAAAACTCTCTGCTCTACCTGTATGTTTCAGAAGAGATACAGCACGAGCGAGAAAAGGTTTAGTGAACTGAGTGAGCAACATGAAGTGGTCATGCCTATGAAGAGTTAGGGAGCAGCTGGAGTACAGAAGTTGCCAGATGCTGGAAGAAGTGAGTGTTAAGAGCTAGAGATGGGCCATTTTTCCTAAGAGCTTGAATTTGCACTCAACAGTGCTAATTCTATTAGACATCTCCATGCATAATCTTCCCACTTGATGATGTGATATGTAAAATTAAATTTGATTTAGTTTTGCAGTAATGAAACTGATTATGCTTACTTTGAACATGTTATTGTTCAAAATTATCTGTTTAAATCTTGGAACTTTGCTACCACGCTCCACAAAGCATAGGTGTGGGCAAAACTTGCAATCATCTCTGTCTTGCTTGACCAGACATTTGCAGAGTCACCAACAAGAGCAGCTGCAATTCCTCAGGAGCCTCCCTGAGAACATACCTTATTTTCTCCCTCATCTTAAATGTCATACTAGGAATCTTCCATCAGCATCAACGTTGCAGCAAAGCAGACTACACACTTCACAGAGCTCATCTGTGTGCCTCCTTTCGTAGCAATGACAAAAAGCTGAGCTTTGTGCCACATGCCCTCCATTCCCCCATTAGTAGATGTTTCATATCAGCCAAAGTTGTCATGTTTACATAAACTTTTGTCTGTCTTGCATAAACTGCCATTCTCATCACCCTTTCAGATTTCCCTTAATAAAAGTTGCCTCCTCCGTATGTGAGGAAAGAGCTTATTTGTTGAATATTTACCACTCCAGCAGTACCCCACTATTGCTGACACATGTCCAGGCTTGCTGAAATCTTCATGATGTTTCCACAGCACCATTTCTTGTAATTATTTTGATTAGCTTCATCACATTACACCAATAACAATCTCGTCCCCATACTAGTAGCCTTTATTTATGTGGATATTTCCAGGGAAAGATTAAATCAAATAAATAAAGGCTTGCGTGCTTAATTTCAATATTATAATTACCTTCAAAACAACATCATAGACCTATCACACAATAGGGATGCTTATTATTAACATCAATTTCTGGGGCTTGGGAATAGACAGTATTTGGATAGAAATTAAATGGGCATTTGCATTATATTAGAGGAGCGTAATTTACTTCAAGTGCCCATCACACTGTTTTTGTAAACAGATAAAGGTTTTATTGCCTGTTTCCAAGTCTCAACTTGACCCTGGTGGGTCCTTTTCTGTTCTCTAACCACAGAAAAACAAACTACAGTCCCAAGCTATGAACATGCTATATTTATGTTCGTACGACAGTACCTGGTGTTTTGGTAGTGCAATTTCATCCATAGATCCAAAAACACTTTAGTAAGCTGAACAGGACTCCTACAGAGAATCAGAGAACACTAAAACGACTAGCCTAAGATCACACAGAAAACTAACGGCAGAGACGTGAACAGAATGGATCCAAAGTGACTGAGACATGCTTTAAATTACTGTACATTTTCTGAACTGAAAGAAATTATCAGAAATTCCAGCCTAAAAGGTAAATTCTCTAGAGGAAAGCTATTTCAGTAAACTAGGAAAAGAAAATTCAAGTTGTCAAATATAAATACAAAATACTATAATTAGTGTGACAATATAATTAGATCACTGGGTGGAAAGAGGTTCTTAATTCACAGCTTGTTTAAATACATGTCACAACAAAAGGTTCCTGTAAGCCACTAATGTGCAATTAAAGTTCCTGTTATTTACCAGGAAAAACTAACTGGTGAAAAGAAGAAACAATAATAATTTTTTGCAGGTAAGCATTTGTTTAATGGAAAGAAAAAGCCCTGTTTCTTTTTTATGCACTTTCTGATTTTTATAATTCTAACTTCGCCAGTATGCAACACTCTCAGAAAATATTTCATGACAGAAGTCCACAGACTACAGTCACAAATACTCGTGTCAGTAATATTACCACAAAGCTAAACAAAACAGCATGGGTTTTATTTATTTTTAAAAACATTGTCTAAACTTTTTCGTAGCAATACATAGCAACTGCAAGCATCAGTATGACTGCTAATGTTTTCTAAATGCATAAAACTCATGCAAATTCCTAATTAGGAAAAACATATTTTAATAGTTATTTTCCCTCTCTTTAAAAAAAAAAGCTATTTTTTTAATATATATAAAAAACATTTGGAAAAAAAATCCAAACAAAATGAAAACCAAATCCCAGCCAAAGGAAGAAAAGTGACCTTATAATGCCTGGGCTGATACTGTATGCTGTATCTTAGCCCGTAATGCATTTTCAAGATGAGATTATGAACTAGCACTAGGAGAAGCTATAACAGAAACACTGACTGAAACAATAGGGACATGAACAGGTGCTGCTATAACAAAACTAATTAAAGTGAGTGAGAGGAGTTTAAAACTTTCAGATAGATAGCAAGGAATGAAAGTACTAAGCAAAATGGATACGGTTATCTTTATTGCGGGCTGTCCACTCCTCTTTTCCTCATCTTTTATAGCATATTGCTTCCAGTGCTAATGGAGTATGATAGCTACACTAAGTCTAAGGTAAATAAAATTTTGCACAGGATCAAATCACATATATTAAAACCCAGACCACTACCTTAGCCTTAAGTTTCCTCAAAGTACACAGCAGCTCCTCCCTCCCCCCACCCCCCAGTATTACTAGGGTATTTATTTGCCATCTGGAGCATTAAGGCGGCACTCACACGTATAAAGAATAATGCCTGTAAGGATTTTTCATTTTGTTTTCACGGAACCATTAATCATGCTTATCTGCATTTCAGGGTAATAGGACTGATTTCTATGGGTCTTCATCCTGATTGACACTGGAGGAGGAACACTGGCATCAATTTATATACAATCTTTTCGTTAAGTTTTAAAACTGCTGTCACGGTCGGAAGGCTCATGCCACAAACACCCATTCATGTTGCTGAGGTTTATGAAGTTACAGGCTTCCAGCAGCTTGGTTCAACTCCTCTGCCAAAGACCCTCACTCGCTACATATCACGAGAACCGAATGACAAAATGCTCCTCTCTGGTTTGGTGCCAACTGGGGCAAGTTTGCTCAAAGTAGGGGTGTAACAAGCTGTTGAGTTGCCAAAACCTTTTAAACAGCCTTACTGCATGAATATGTGTCCAACTACTGAATCAGAGCTGACCAAACACCGTGACAGGCGCAAGTCAGGGTTGTATCCCATCCTCCTCCAAAGAAAGAGGAAATGTGATACCCAGCTGGGTGAGAAAACAGCACCTCACCTGACCAGGACTACAGGGAGCTGCAGCAGAAGGGAGGAAGCACTGAGATCATCCCACAGATATCCCTTACAAACAAGATCATTAGTGTTCCCAGCTTTTTACCCTGAATTTCCCTCTTCTCCTCTGTTTGGCTGTTTCTCCTACTAGTGCTCCTCCGTGTTCCCATTTTCCTCCTTGCTCTTTGTCTCCGGTATTCAGAGGCTCTTTTTCTTTTTCCATTTGTATTTTCTCCCTTCCTCCTTTTTCCTCCTCTTCTCCACTCCCACACTTCTAGCCTGCTTGGTTTTGCTTCCCAAGACTTTTGATTCTGCTCACTTGCAGCAGTGTAAATTCTGGGTATTTCCACTAAAGTCACTAAGCTCCACTAAGTGCAATGGGCACTAAAATCACAGTCCCACTGCAACTGAGAGAAGTCAGTTGGGCCTGTGATATGGGGTACCTTTAATTTTTCTCCCTGTTTGTGTCCCCACTCAGCCCATCTCATGTAAGAACTTTGCAAACCTGAGGAAGAGCTAGGAAGAGAAAAGCTGTTTATCCGTGACCTTCAACAACGGCAAGGAACAGTGAGAGCACTGCTCTTACAGTCTGGTATAGGAAAGCCCCGTTTGCTCTCCGTTGCTCCACGGTATTCCAGTTTGGCTGTAAGCCAAACCAGGCTGTGGTTTATCAGCCCTGGTCAAAGGCCACTGTTTCTCTAGTAGCCTGCACAACTGAAAGCTATTTATCCTTCCTCCGGCTTTGCATCCAGTATAACCTCCCACATCCTCCCCTTTCCCCTTTGCTACTTTCACATTTCGTAGTCACCTTCTTAAAAGGCCCATGAAAATATCATGCTGCACTTCACTACATTTAGTTAACTGTAAAATAATAATAACAAAAAATCCTAAAATATTTGAAGGTATTTTTAAGAGAATTTAAATATAGGACTCTTTTCATCTAGCTATCACTGCAGTAATATAAATGAAGCAAATTAATTTTAATGCTCCAAGGTACTGATTCTGTGTCACTGTCACTGACAGGATCCAACTAGACTTTATGAGATGGCATTTGACTTTATGGAAGTGAGCACTATGCACGCATTTACAATTTTACAGGGACTTTAAG